TTTGTTAGCTTTAGAAACTTAATTCAAAATAGTTGCAGGCCCTTTTGGTACGGCTTGCACGGCTAACCTGGTATTAGTCTTCTGGTCTCAAAAATATTTTTGACCAGTGTGGCAGACCGCTTCTGGGCACCCAAGAAGTAGCCGGGGGATGTTGGGCCTAAATATTAAGCTCAATATTATATAATATATTTGTATAATAATCTTAGTAAAGGATCACCGGCAAGGTTGCCAAAAAATAAAAAAAAAAAAAAAAAATAAAAAAAAAAAGTATAGAAAGAATCATTATTATAAAATTATTTATATAGACAATTAAAAATTTAATATAGTACTTAACAAAAGTTTTCCTGCACCTCTAACTCAGCACAAAGGTAAGATAAGTAAAAATTTTTTTATTTCAAAATATATTGTATTATAAAAAAAATCAATGTATTGTATAATCACTCTCAGCTTCAATTAGAGCTTTTATATGACTTTTTATATTCCTAATTAAATTTTTTGTATATTTTTTAGGTAAGCTATTCTATTCTTTTGTTATTTTGTTCTAAAGGTTCTAATTTTTTTTTACTAGATTTATTTTTATCAACCCCCAGACATTTTCAATTGGATTTTGGTCAGATAATATTGATAGTTAGGAAAAACCTAGGCATCATTTTTTTCCTTCCAAGCATTCGTGATTTTTGAATAATACTTTAAATCATTGTTCTTCTGCAAGATTCAACTATTACAATATTTATTAAAAAGGTTCTCAACAGAAAGCAGAAAGCCTGTTTTATACAGAGTGATTATATATTGCATATTAAGATTATGCATAAAGCAGGCCAACTTGCCATAGCCTGAAAAAAAAAATAACCCTATATGTGAACTTTTGTTAGATGCTTGACAGAATGGATTAATTTTTTTCTTCTAGAGAATCGCCATGCCTTTTTTAGTTATTGATTCAGGCAGAAAGTACTTTTATCAGTAAATATCACAAAATCCCAGTCAAAATCTTATGCTTCTTCATCTACAAAAGATATTTTTTCGATGCTTTTCCTCAAACAAAGGCTTTAAGAGCTTTTTGTAATAGCAGCCCCACCTTTACAAAAGTACTATTGAATAGTGCATACATGATATTCTATTTCATCAGTTTACAACAGATTTCTAGAGCTGTAATATCTTCATTTTCTTTTTTCAGCTTCAAAATCTATTTGTCTTATCTTTGCATAGTAACTCTTTTATGGCCTAACCTTGGTTTGTCACTTAGGTTCTTAGTTTCATATTATCATTTTACCTAATAGTACACAGAACTTTCATCACAGTGAACTTGCTTTGCTGTTTTACGAATTGAAAGCTTGGGACCTTTTGGATAGGTGCTTAAAAAAATGATTTTATATCGTTTATATAAAACAAGAGATATTTTTTTAGCTAAAATTTCATGCATGATTGAAGCAGGTATTTTTATAATCAAATATATCTGAAGAATATTAGTACAATCTGCATATGCAATGTACTATATGTGAATAAAATTTTACATGCCTGCACGTGATCTAGCAAAAGCTAGAGGTGTGGAAAACTTTTGTCAGGCACTGTATATCATTGTAGTCTAAAAACTGGCAATTTCACTATCCGCTTACCTATAATAAGTTAAACTAAAGGTATTCATGTTTATTAATAAAATTTCTTCATTTAGAGTGTTTCTAGTAGAAAATCTTTTCTAATCATTTTCAATTGCCTTCTCTATGGGGTTTTCATAAGAATAAAAGTAAATGTTTGGTAATTAGCAGAGTTTATTGAGTTTCTACTACATCTAAATTATTAAGCCAAAACTTAGATTTATAAAATGTTAAAATGTGAAGGTTATACTAATATAAGATTTTATATATTTTATTAAATAGGCCAAGCAATATAAAGCCTTTAACAAGGTTTATTTCAGTATTTACTCAAACAAAGAGCATATATATGCATTATTTATCAAACAGATAAGAAAACTAAGATCTCTAATGTATAGTAAATATGGTAATGCGGTCTAATTGATAGTTTAGTCCAAGAGTGGTAACACATGACAACATGTTTTTGGTAAAGTATAATAGTTAAAAGATGGGTTAGAATTAATTTAGCTTTAAAAAAAGCTTCGCTTTTGTTATTAATAAATTTATTTCGCTTCATTTCGCGTATTGAAAAAATTTAATTTGATTTGATTGGTCAATAGTAACGCATAAATCTACATAAATTAGCCAATCACATAAATGTTATAACCCGTGATTTTCCGTAAAAATACGAGTCAAGTTTCCTCCTTTCATAACATATATATTTAAGAATTATGCATGCATCTCTGTATTACAAGACGCGTATGAAAGTTGCTGTGAGTAGCTTATATTTTAGTTTTAACACTATTACCAATAAAATGCCTAAAACTTTACTTGATATTATTAGACTTTTTGAGAAGTCAAGAAATGAAGAAGATTTCTTACTTCTAAGAAATCGAAAAATTTCGGGTTCGAGTTTTCTTTACTAAGTAAAAAAAGATCTGCTTCGATGTCAGCTAAAAGTTGGCCCTGCTGTAGTGCTTACAAATTTGATAATAGAGATTAATACTAGTATGTATATATTCGATGTATTGTTAGTTTGTTATATTTATTATACAATATTTTTTGTGAGGAAGCTTTCAAATAAAAAATAATTCCCGTAATTCAAGATATAGAAAACTTTAAATGGATGTATTCTAGATATTTTTACATCACTCCTTTCGAAGAATGGTCATTCGATCATTTTGAAAGATGGGTTTTACAAAATTATATTGTACTGAACAAAGAAGTTTATTCTCGATGTTTTTTAACATTATTCGGAAAATAAAAGAAGACTTTAGGACCTTAAAAGAGATCAAAGAAATAGTGTCGGTTTTGGATAAAAAGGCAAGAATATGTTTTTTTTTTTTTATCAAACCACACCTATTAAGATGATGAAGAATTATCGGATATCTTGAAATGTTTGCTATTGATGGGGCTTGCTTACGTCAGGCTACCCTTTACTGGGTATAGATATGTTTCATTTATCCCAATGAAGGTGAGGATCGGTCCTCGTCATATGAGTAGAGAATCCTGCGTGTGTTTGCTTTTGGACTGTCATAGCATTTAGGTTAGGATGAGGCTACTCCTTGTTAAACAATATTGAACACATTGCTGGTCATATTTGAACTATTTTTTCAGATTTAACAAGGGAGCTACGTCCTCAAAAGTTAGCCAAATCGGTGCATATTTTCTGGCCACGTCCCAGTAGTATGTATCCGATCATCCTTACCTTGTTTTTAGATAACCGATATATCCTAACAAGAGAAACTGAAATAGACGGAACTTAATATATCGCTGTTATTTTTTGGACAATTTCTAACTTAATTTATTTTTTCTTATATAGTTAGACATCATAGATTATAACTCCGTTGATAACTCTGTTAATAAATGTCTCGCATATAAATCAATGTTGAAGGACAACATCTCACCATTTGTTGACCTAATTTTAAGTTACCATAAATCCAAATCTTTTAGAGAGTTTAAAGACTATAACGAAGCTGCACTTCAGATGGAAATTGAATTGCTACTTCCAACCAAACATCGTCAACCTGAAGTGCGACTTGTGGTTGATGGGTCGAAAAGTTCAGGAGCAAGTCGCTTCGGATTTATTGACATTTTTGTTAGTGGAGTGAATGAAGACGGAATGAGGTCAAGCATAATATTGGAGTTAAAATGTATTACTTTGGTAGGTCTTTTAAGTGGGGAAAAGCACAATGGGTTAACAAAGCAGACTACAAATCATTAAAGGCCTTAGACGATAAGATCGAAAAAGAAGCTAAAGACGAACTATTAAATAGAAGATATTTTTATTGGCATAAAGAAAAAAGTATGAGCAAGTATTATTGGGAGAGTTAATTCAAAATGGAATGGAACAACTTAGTAGATACATGAAAACGGTGCAGAAGGGTAGTGTTAATAAATATGATCAATCAGGAATTTATGACGATAAAATTGAAGTAATGAGTACTTGTGGTTTCACTCAGTTCTAAACGTGTTTTAACTAGATTAGTAAATTTTACTATAAGTCCAAATTAATTTTTTACCGCATCATATTTTACATGATTTAATAACTTCAATAACATTTTGCCAAATATTTGATATAGTTAAATTGAAATTTGTGTAAATACATTGTTATTCTAATATTTATCAATAAAGCTCCTTGGTTGCTCGATTTGGCATGTGTATTTCGTGAATTTATTTTATCATTTTTACAAATGTTTCCGAAATTAATCTGATATCACACGATCGAGAATTTTTCTTGGAGCTTTATAAAAAATGTTGATCCGTGTTTATTATTCCATGTTTTTTCCATGAATGTTTCATTTTCATGGAATTTATAACCTTAAATCATGGAAATTTTCATCTCCCCTAACACGGATATCCGTAAATGTATCATTTTCATGGAATTTTTACGGAGGCCACGGAGAAATAATGGAAATATTAGGATAAAAATTTTTTATAGGGTTACATGCCAACATTAAATACATAATTAAAATTATTGCTTAATTTGTGCATAATATTTTTTATTTCTTTAGTACTCTATATAAAGAGCTGCCTGTCGCGAATAATAAAAATTTAGATAGTCAATATTGATAATTGAATAGAGACAAATACCTTTATTGTTGCGAAATTTTCGTAATAACGATAAATTTTACTATTATATTTTTCTTTCTATTCGTAATAGTAGTTATTATGTACAGTCTAACCTCTCTACAGTCACGCCCTTGGTTCCAAGAAATTCAGTGCTTATAAAGAATTGTGCTTATATAGATGTTAAATTTCTTAAGTTTTATATAAGCTAATTTTATAAATTAATGTGATTATAAAAGGTTGTGACTGTATGGAGAGTGACTGTATGGAGGGCAGACTGTAATTACTTAATTGTAAGTATAAAAGAAAAAAATAAAAAAAAAACTATAGGCATAAAGAGTCACTTGTCACTAATAGTAGAGATAGCTATTCTTAACCGACCGGTATAATAAAACCACCGGCATAACGTTCGTTTTTGCACACTTTAACCGTTTAATGCTTACAATTCGTATTAAGTCTATATCAAGCTCTCTCGATCAGCCGAATTTTCGAACACTTTATAAATGATCGATTAAAAAACTTTCACCAATCAACCAACTCTATACCAAAGTTTAATAATAACTAGCTTCATACGTGTTACTACGTACTGTACGTACGTACGTACCACATTTAATATAGATATAATTATATAACAGATAATTAATTATGATACATTTCAATTTACAAATCATATACAAGGAGATTCATAATTCGTCTACATGAAATTGACAAGCATATGTACAGTATATCACTAATGTTGGTTGTCACATCGACGACCAATAGATCGGCTGCTTATCGCAATAGCCCACCAGGAGTCTAGACACTTTTGCAACGTGATGTGGCGCATGAGACATGACCAATCAGGATGAGTAAATTTTGAAACACGTGCGCAAGAAGAAAAAGAGAAAAAAGCGAAAATACTCAAAAACTAGTGTCTAAGTCGGCCTTTAGGCACTAACAAAAAAATGTAGAGATCGTAATTTTACATATGGGGGTGATCTTTCAAGGCCTATAGCTATGAACCTAACCGGAAACATAACATAAAGCCAAAAAAAGCTTATCCGAATATGCCACAATGCATTTCAATATCTGATATCAGCCACGTAATACATTATACGTACGTGCGTACGTACCAATTATTTTTCGGCTTATTAGTACGTACGTACGTACATAATTTATGTTTGTGTTTGTACGTACATGAAATCTTTATGTCGCATTATGTGGTTCCAAGCTTGGAGATAAGCGAATACCATCTACACATTTTCATATGCAAGCGGTTCTAAATTTTAGATGTATTGGAATCACTTGGGATGTTACGGTCCGGCAAAGACCGCAGTCTGAACCAGTTTTTTTGAACCGGTTTAAGTGGCTCCCAGCCTACTAAGTATACTAAATATACAGTATGTATATTCAATGAAGGATAAAATACTGTAAAAAAAGATCTTTATTTATCATATATATATACTGTATTATACAGAATATAAAAACCAAATTTTAGAGGAGGGCACCGTGACCAATTATTTACAATGAGTAACTTTTGATCCACTGATTCGTTTTGGATGATTTTACCACTAAAATGGCCGTCTCAATGAGATGATTCTAACAAGAATAAAATCATTAAAATCTCCTGAAATCATTAAAGATGTAAAAATTTGCAGATCACTAATATAATTTTTTAAATAAAACCTTGGGACCTGTGATTGGATTTAACGATTTTATGCTCTAGAATCGTCTCATTGAGACGGTCATTTTGGCAGTAAGATCATCCAAAACGGACCGGTGGATCAAAAGTTATTAACTGTTAAAGATTTTATATATGTATTTTTTAATAATAGATTTAATATTTTGTTTAAATGGTGATATCTCATTATCTAGCAATCAGAATTAGATGATTTTTGCGTCATTATATTTGTGCGTCATTATATTTGTGAACTAAATGATATAAAAATCGTCTAATTCTAATCTCAAGGTAAGAACGTCCCAAATATGGGATTACCTAAAGCTGTGTCCAATTACATATTGATTTATATATTGTATTCTTGATATTTTTATAAACCCGCTAACCTTAAATACATCAAAAAGTAACCCCTAATCGAACACAGCTTTAGTTATCCCCAAATCAAATACTTTTTTTTTACTAATTCATAGTAGCACTTTTCAGAAAAGTATAACTGGCGTTGAGTGGCGCATGCAGCAATGATTGGACCGTAAAATTATATGAACTTATATGAACAAGTTTGGAAAAATTTTAAACTAGGGTCTCATGATTGACCCTATGGCGTATATTAAACGTCATATTATTACGTATAAAACTTTTCGCTATTACTGACCTAGAGGTGTTTGTTAGAAACGTGTGTCAGGTTTGTAGTGCAAATGTGGCGCATATTTCTACGAATCAGATTTCAGAAAATTTCAAAACAAATGTCAAAATTGCTTATTTCTAGAAAATTGCATAAGAAACTAGCTTTAGTGCACTAACAAAAGTTTTCCCTGAACGATTTTACTATATAATCACCCAATCTCTAACTTATTCTAAACGGTAACCCTAACATTAACGAACTTTGAAGATTTTGCTGCGCCATAAACTTGGCAAACATTGAGGTCACAAGCATATGGCTTTGTACCTAGAAATTCAAAACGTAATGGATTCTATTCGTATCGATATTAAAAATAAATAATTTTGCTTTGAGACAAACAAGCTTTATTATTTTTTAAGACCAAATTGGAAAATTCAAATAAAAAATGGATTATGCCCATATTACCTTATTATCTATTCCAATCTATCTATGTATCCGAAAATTTTTGTTCCTGCAATCCACACCATTACAATTATACTTACATGTTAATGTGATCTTTATTTGATTGAAAGCCAAGTGTCTCTTCTGAATTAGAGATTGGAATCGAATATTTAATTCACTGAATATTCGAATTAATTCGATTTAAAATTATATTCGAATTAAGTTCGAATATTCATGCATAAATATACGTGAAAAATGGATGCTATAT